GCCCCTTTTCAACAACAGATTCAACAGATCATTAAAGGCTATAATGGTCATGCATGTCATCATATCCCCCTGAGGCTTTTTAACGAAAATAGTGAATACTCGTGAGGAGGAGTTTTGCTTTATCTCCATCTCCAAGAGGCGAGTTGAGCCTCGGAGGAAACTCCCGTCCTCTCGGCTGGTCAGTTGTGCGGAACAGCGAGCAGCACCAAGGAAAGTGGCAAAGCTCCATAATAACCACCACTACTGCTACCCGCTCTGCATGTACACGATACCCTGTTGGCCATATCTCCATTTCTTTCCATTTGTGTGTTCAGTAGCAGGTTGAGGGGGGGGGGGGCAGGCTGGATAATGTGATGCTGACACTCGAGGAATGAGTATCGTCCCACTATTGTGTTGCAAGGTAATTATAGCAAACGGGCCTAACAAATGCACAATGTATAATTCAGAACATCCTGCATTCCTGCACCGCACTTCTACACGCCAACAGTATTCATTACTAGGCCAGGAGATGAGCATTTATTTTTAATGCTCTGCTGTTTTCATTACAAATAAACATTTCCTAACCGTGTGTTACAAGATGTGTGTCCTTGTGGAAGAAGCTGGCATGACTATATGAAGATGAATATGAATGTGCTTATTATAAATGCTGAAATATTTGAAATCTTGTTTCATGGTTCACAATTTCTTTTTTGATGCAACCACAACTTGCAATTTCCCGAGAGATTTAGCTGTGAGGCATGAAAGCAAAAATAAAGGAGGGCTTTCTTGTCATGGTTCCAGAAATCCAGTGGCTGATAATCAGTATTTCACAAAAGCTAAAAGTAGAAGCCTTTCAAAAATAAAACATGTTTGTCCTATCATTTTATCTGTGTCTTGAAATAATCACTGATCTATTATGTTGAAGGATCGGTGAGCCTCTCCGAGTAAAAGCATTCAGTTTCGAAGATTCTTGAAGAAACGGACGATAAGATTATTTTGGCACAAAGACTAGAAGCTTTGGGAAACTCAAAGCCTGGATTTGTCAAAGTCAGAACAGAGGGATACTTGTTGTTTTTCTTTTCTTAGGAAGGAGATCAGGCTGTGTGAAGCCAATCTTTAGTTACAAGTAGACAAAGCTTCATTTTACAAGAGGTCAAAAGTCAAAAAGATTAAGCCTTTCCTCCTCTCTAGGGAGCGGAATCAAGAAGTGGTTTCAGTTGAGAACCAGGGACAAATCGTCCGATCTATCTGAAATGATTGCCTCCGGGTACATCAATTCCTTTTATTGATGCGGCCTGTTTTTCTGACAGTTGCTCATGCAAAAAGTCATGCGTCATGACGGACAAATCTGTGTTCATGCTGCTGTAAGCTAGCAACAAAGAGCAGTCATGGAGCAGGGAAGGTTTCATTTCACCAAGAAAGATGAATAACACTTGTGATGTCTGTCGTTTCTTTTAACATGTTTTAATGTCAATAGGCATATACACATGTGCTCAGTTAGAGAAATAGTGAAATAGATATTGACACTGAAAACCTGTGTAGGCCTACTTTTGTTTTTCCACACAGAAAAGGGTAAAGAATCAGACCTATAAACCAGAATCAATACTGCATTGGTATCAATAAGAACTTATAAATTCCTATTCCAACTGTTCTCTTTGTTTCCACAATCCTTCCTATAGATGTGTGGTTGTTCTGGGGAAGACACTCCCTATTCTCTCGTGGCTTGGAAGCCACATTGAAGCACAGCCCCAGCATCCATGTGAGTAGCTGAGTCATGGGACCTCCCCCCCTTTAGGAGACCTGCTTTAATAATGCAAGGCGAGGAGCTCTGCGACAGGGCCCATTCCTGGAATACCTGATGCAGAGTAGCAGCACAAGGAGGCTTTAACATAACTCAGGGAAACCAAAACGGTTTGTGGTAGGGCTGCTCAATTAATTGTATTTTAATCGGAATTACGATTTTGGCTTGCAACAATTATGAAAACAACATAATCGAAATAAAACGATTTAAAAAAAAAATTATTATTATTATTTATTTAAAAAAAAAGTATTATTTTCTTTATTGGTTTTTCAGTTGAATTATACTTAAAGTTCAGGGTAATCAACTGTTAAAAACATACTACAATTTTCTTTTTTCAATAAATGGATGTTTTCAAAGTAAATGGATAATCGTTTTTAATAATCGTGATCTCAATTATTGACCCAAATAATCGAGATTATGATTTTTGCCATAATCGAGCAGCCCTAGTTTGTGGTGTGAACACATGCATCCACATTCCACCTGTCTGCAAATCCACCTGAGAATATTTACTGCAGCCTCTACGTGAGTGATGTGAGCCTAGAGCTACTGTACTCATAAGTGGAATAACTTGGCTGTGGAAAATGAAGGTTTCACCCCCCGAGGTTAGGGTGAAGAACCAATGAACCACGCAGAGGGAATAATGCCAAGCACCTGTTTATATATGTGTGTGTGTTGAGGACACTGCAGAGAGAGCACCACACTGAATTAGTAGAGAGTAAAATTAATGTATCCCTCCATAGTAAACAATCAAATATAATAATCAGGAACACAGAAATGACCTCAGGCTGTGTTGATGGTTATGAGGAACTGATTTCATAATGCCCTCAAAAACCATAATAAAGTGCATTCCAGTATTGATATCATCTCACACTGTTGAATATTTCCGGTTACTCCCCCCTGAATATGAGCACAAAACAAACAAACAATCTACGATAAGATACGAGTAGTATTTTTCCTGTTTCTCTAAATGCGTGTTTGCGCCTGCCTGGGCAAATTCAACCCACAGCACTGCATAAACAGCATACCAAGTGGCATTTTGGGTAGACAGGAAGAGGTTATTGCAACAACACCTCTGCTAGAAGGGGGGGAAGTTCGGAGCCCGTCTTGCAGCAAAAGAAACTGAGCAACAACAAGCTACATTTAGCCGACTGCAAAACATCATTGTAGTGAATTTCATTGTACAGAATCAGATGCAGGTTCTTGTCCTGAAAACTGTGCCACAGATGAGTTTTCTGGAGACGTGCCTGCTGCTTGTGTATGTGAGGAATCCTATTTAAATGGAGATGACAGAGCCGCCACTTCTTCTCTCATCTCCCACTCTCATCCTCTGTCTCCCCCCCCCCCCTGTTTCTGGCTCTGGGAGTCTCTCTGTTGCTGCAACTGCAGTGAAATCGAAGATATTTGACGGACCGTGGCGACATAAAAACCCCCTCCAAAAAACGTCTACAATCGCATTTTTAAAGCACAAGGCATAACATATTCTCTACGAATTCGCAAACACCAACAAGGTAATCATCTCATCTCGAAAGAAAGAAAGTTATTTAGGCTAACGAAGGATGTTTTATTAATATTCACTGTTCCAAAATATAGATCCAGGACTGCATCATTTATTCACAAGCGTATGGTGCGCACACACAAAATGTTAAGAGGCAAAACATACCCCTGAGGCTTTCCTTCTAGCCCAGTAAAGCCCCAAAGCTTTTTAGAAGCAGCATTAAGACGTCAGCCTGTGAGCTCGGTACGAGGCTTTTACCAGCATGCTTTATTCCCACTAATTGCTTTCAGAAACCTAAACACCTCGAAGGATGCCTTTCGGTCTTCTGACGAGGAAAAAAACAACACAATATCAAGGGAAACGTGCATCAGTTGAAGATTTACAGGCTTGGTTTTGACAGGTTAAATAGAAATTACTGTATTTGCCAGTGTAACCGATACAAATAAATAAATTCTACGACAAAATCTTGACATTTTTCGGTTCGATTTGCTGCAAAATCCATCATCATATCTCACAACGTATGCTTAGCCTGGGTTGTGAATCACATCAGGTGCACTTCACAGCGGTTAACCCTTGACCTTGAATCTTACTCAAGACCACAGCATCATAAAAAGACGTCCACTGGAGAAAATATATATGGACTATCACTTTCAATATGTGTCTTTCCATGCAGATGAAACTAGCACAGAGCCAGTGCATCTGCTTCTGTCAGCAGCGTGACACACAGTACATGCCAGGCTGCTTGTTGAGCCTTTCAGTCAAACAAAGAAGCCGACTAGAATGTCTTTGTCTGAGACTACGCTGAGGTGGATAAGGTGTCTCGTCCACTGTGACCTTGCTGCAGTGCATTGTCACACACAAACAAATACAACTTTCATTGCATGATCAAGAAAAATAATACATCATCAACAATGATTCATGCAACATCTTTCCTCTCCTTGTGATTGCTGGATCACGTATGGGAACAATATGCCCTGTGTAGTTGCAGTGACAGCCAGAAACCTAATGCTTCATCAAATCTTTAGTGTCTGCGATTGATCCGGTGGGCAACAGCTGAGGGTATCTGCTGGGGAAAGGCTGCAGCTGCCCCAACACACACACAGGATTTATGAGCAAATGATAACCAGGGGGCATGGCTGTGTGTGCTTTAACATTAGGGTTGTAAAGCTACTGGGTAATGGTTTTTTTGTGGTATTCAACTAGGGTTTACAAAGGTTACAATCAGGGGAAGATAACAGGTAAATATCCTAATTACAGCAAATACAATTGTGATATAGGCTTTTAATGTAATTACCAACACTCCCATAACATTCATGCACATCATGCGAACAATATCTTGTTATTTTTAATACTGTAAATCCTGCACAACCCTTTGAATATCAACCCTTTGAATATGTTGCACATTTCTGCTCTGCACATGAATATAGTTTTGTCATATTTTACTGTACTCAGTTTCTCACATATTTATATGTTGTGCAAATATTGTCTTGTTTTACAATAGTCTTTCAAATAGCTCTTTTTGCTCCTTTCTTGTACACCAAAGCACATTCCTCGTATGTGTAAACCTACTTGTCCACTAAACCTGATTCTGATTCTAATGTATCACTTCTAGCATAGGCACCCATGAATATTTGAAATTCCCCAGTATAAACACACACAAACTGGGGACATTCCCCACAAAAATGTGAAGTCATGCTCTGTATTTCTCCCCCTCCCTTCACATACCTCGGCACACAGCTGGGTGAGGACCGGTCCACCTCCCAGGTAGCGTACAGGTTCATGTGGACCGGCCGATTGGAGGTGATGCTGACCGGTTTGGAGGGCTGCATGTGCGGCGAAGGGACGCCCCCAGTCCGCGGGAGCCCTCCTCGCTCCGACATCCTGGAGGCTGAAAAAAGGCTTTCAAGTCGGGGCTAAGAAGAAGAGGAATACCCGTAGTAGCCTTTCTTCTCTGTGTGTGTTGTCCTTTTTTGTCTGGCTTATTTTGTCCTCGTAATGCGTAAAACGCTCTGTGTCACGTAGAAACGGATAGTTTTTAGCCGTTTGGTGCTATTCACCGCTTAATAGTGAAAACATGGCAGTCGTAGGGGGGGGTTTAAACCGTTTAAACCCAAAAGCAGGCGGTAAAATCCGCGCGTCCGTGGGTCTTCTCGCTGTCCCAACTTGGTGCTGCTGGTAGGGGGTGTTTATCGGTGCAGGAAGCGGAAATTTATCTCGCCGTAGTCGCACAATGAGCAGAGAGCACGAGCTACGCCTCTTCAGTGCGAGGACGTAGAGCACGAGAGAGCAGCGCGAGGCAGAGAGGGGGTGGCCAATGGTGTGCTGTGGTGCGTTCTGTGTGTTTTTAAATCAGTGGTGTCAAAAAGGGGTAAATGTTGCTTTAATAATAACAGTACATCAGTTTATATGTTTACTAAGGTTCATCAAATTAATGTAGAAGGAATATATGCTCAATTTATATGTTTTTATCATTCAGAAAAAACTAAAACGTGTTGTATACACACAAAACATGGACTACAGTTATAATAGTCATGTTTTGGAGCATTGTATACACTATGTATCAACAAGAAGACTCCAAATTGCTGAAATATAAACTCTAAATTAACTAGGACTGAAATCTAAATATATTATACTCATAAATATTTGTATACTAGTATAACAATGTTAATATATGTATAATATGTATATGTATTGTATTGTATTGTATTGTCAATCAGTATACATATGTAAACCACTTGCATTCTAGTTTATTATATGTAAACGTTGTTGTTGTATGCAACGTACACTATGCTACTGTCAAAATGTAACTATGGTCATGCAAAGCTATTTGCATGACAAAAAAACATAAAGTAATAGCTGCAATGTGGACTTTGCAGTTCTCACATTCACTTCAGAATATATAATTAAAACTAGATAAATAAACCGATCAAACAAACTATTTTATGTGTACGCAGAATAACTTACTGCATATTATAACACTGGAACAAAGTCCTGATTACGCTGCTATTAACACATCTTTTGTTATGACAGTAAGTAGTAAATAAGTTACACAATAGCACTTTCCTGCAGGTGCTACTGTTTTATTGAAGGAGTGGCCAATTAGAAACCCCTGTAATGTATAGACATAAGCTAAAACATGCTTTATCCAGGTTAATATATTATTAAATAGGTGATTAACACCAATGGCACACCATGGATGTTCACCTTGTCCTCCTTATGATGACAATGATAAGATTAACCACAGTGCCAATATTGACCCATGTGCAGTATTACACTTTGTATGAGTGAGTATTGTATGCCCATGAAGCACCCTCAGTGGAGAGACTCAGGTGTTTTCTCAAATGACTCCCATTGGTCATACACATGTGCTGGCTCACACACACTCACACACACACACACACACACACACACACACACACACACACACACACACACACACATACACACACACACACACACACACACACACACACACACACACACACACACACACACACCTTATGTCAGCCGTTGTGAGCAGGCAACCACACAAAGGTGCAAAACCGGTTACAGCCTGGGAATTTATCTGGCTTTCAAGTCACACTTTGAGCGTGTTGAGTTATTTCCTGAAGTGTGATTTATGACCACAAGATATGGACAGGGATAAACCCTTTTTTTGTTTTAGTTTCACTTATAATCACCAACTGGAAGTGACAAATCACACTGTCTCCACGCTGCAGCTCTCCCAGGGTTTGCTGTTTGTCAGAGCCACATGAAACAGATGCAGGGTTAAGCGTTTGTGCCCTCAGGTGACAAAAGCAGGGATTTGATTACAATCTCTGAATCTGAATATGAATCAGCAGGTGACCTAATCTCTCCGCGGACGTCACTGCACGGCTGGCTGCCATCAGCCTGACGTTGGTCTCTATTGGCAGATTATCACAGCTGTGATCGGGGCTTACAAAAAATATTATGTGCTTCAAATGTTCATGGACATTTTACACTCTGTGAAAAATGACATTATTAAAACTTTGCACCCTTATTATGTGACATTCTGGGGATATTTGAAGTATCACAGAATAGATGATAATGAAATGATTGGATGTTGCTACTGGTTGAGAGCTTGTCTGCAACTACCTGTAGTATTATGTAACAGAAAGCAATGGTGTTGTGTGTTTCAAATTACATGCATATTTTGTCATGTCAAGTCCAGGAATTTTACATAAACTTCCGCATGAAATAGATCTGTGATGCTTGATTTTTGGAACAAACACAACACATGTTTTAGTCCATTCTTTAAGGGTTTACAAGGAGTTTTACAGCAGTACAAGCCATCTACTTATGACTTTAGGTAGCATTACACTGTCATCTGCATACAGTATGATCAAATGCTAATCATGCTACTTTTAGAAGCTTATTTTGTGCAGGGAGAATGTCATATATTCTGCTAAAATATGTTCAGTGTCAATTCAAGAGAGCTCTCTTAAAAGCTGAAGTATTTCACTGTAATACAAGTTTACACATATAATAAATACAGTATGTCTGTAGGTGGTAAACAGGCCAATTCAAGCAGTATATTAGAGTTGGAAAATCATTTAATGCCTTGCTAATTGCAGGTTTAAACATGTATCTTGTTAATTTATTCATTTACTATTAATAGAATATAGTTATTTTTAATTCAACCAAGCAAAACAAAAGATGATGTCACCGGCTGGCTATGTGTTCCCCTTATATTGAAGGTGTGACTTCAGTGAGATCAACAGGTTCACCGATGAGATAACTTAAAACCGTGCAGACTCTCCGCTTGACTTCCTGTCTCCGTCCCTCGCTCTGGATAACCAGCCCAATGACTTCAACTCAGGCCTGCTCTTTTTAACATGCTTTGCCATTGATAAAGAGATTAGAATCAAGCAGATTAAAACACAGTCAGGGGATTATCCTTGCTTACTTTTTACACAGTGCACTAAATCTGTCAGGTCATCAAGTGACACTGCACGGGATCCAACGCCAATGTCAAAATCAATTATATTTGTACTCTTACGCAGCACAATTCTTACATATAGAGATCTACAATTTGTTAACTAGGGGAGTGACTCATAGAAATACACTGGGTGATGGATGTCTGTGTATCATTCAATCTCCCAAACTGAACCAAAGACAGTGTTGGCAGACATATTTGAGCCTCAGAGGTAAAGACATGTTCACAGGCCAGGAGATGATGTAATTTACTCCAGGATGGGCAGCTGTCCTGCTGACAGTTTGCCGTCCAGAGAGGACCTCTGCACCCAGTGGTGTATAGGAACAGGGCCAACCGGATTATCATCAGTGTCCCTAAACGCCCCACGAACTCTTCTGCTGTCTGGCAGCTAGTCTTGCACCACCAAGCTTAGGGACATTACATGCTGCATGACAACAATGTTGAACTCTTGAGAACTGTGCTTTTTATATGCTTTTACACATCTGGATTTATATGTATACTTTGAATTATCCGCATAGATTTACTACATTCAAATGACTAATCTGAAATGTAGCGTATAATTGATCTGTTTTTTATTCATGTTATATTCTATCCCTACTATTAACTTGCACTATTTTTGTTTTGACTCTGTCGTTTGGTTTAACTTGTTTTATCTTGTTTTTTATAAAAGCAATGTTGGTAGAAGCCTGAGACTGAGATGTTCCTTGCCTGTATGTAATTATCTATTTCGACGTTACCATTGTGCATATGATAATAAAACACAGCTTGGGCAGCTCTATAATGATAGCAGTATATGCACTGTTGTATTAGTAAGAAAATAAAAGCCATTGATTTAGCAAACGCTGTTGCTCCATGTCTGTGTGTGTGTGTGTGTGTGTGTGTGTGTGTGTGTGTGTGTGTGTGTGTGTGTGTGTGTGTGTGTGTGTGTGTGTGTGTGTGTGTGTGTGTGTGTGTGTGTGTGTGTGTGTGTACTATAGTGACAGAGTCAACATGGTGTAAGGCCTACTGCAGTTATTTAGGTCACTGTGCTTTCCACGGTCAGGTGACTGTCACCTTCAGGGTGCTCTGCTGCCCCCCAGCGGCAGAAACAGGGACTGCAGCTCATCTGGCTTAATGCAGAGCACAGAGGAGGGTACATGTTTATGGGAATTAATGAGTCATTACTTTAAAGGCATTAACCCTCAGGTCCCTCATGCATGTTGTGCTCCCATGACATCTTGGTTTTAATGATAATGACATCAGCGTTACCGTAGAAACCGAGCATGGAGAAATTAGACCGCCCAATCTAAACATGACATAATCATAACAGAAATAAATAAATGTGGAAATAAATACAGGAGTAAATAAATACAAGAATAAATAAATGCATAAATAAATAAAAAATGTGGAAATAAATACAGGAATAAATAAATGTGGAAATAAATACAGGAATAAATAAACACTAGAAAAAATTTACAAATGTATAAATACAGAAATATAAATTGAGAATAAAACAGGAAACATTTCATGTATTTCTACATTTATTTTTTACTAACATTAATATATTTATTCATTTCTGTGTCTGCAACACAGTGTTGTTCTGCTTGGTAGCCTTGTATTCTGTGGATACGACAACATTTATAACATAATATAATTGTACTTTCAATTGCTTTGAAAGTTGTGCATGTGTCTTTAACAATATCTTTGCTATAATATTTTATTTCACTTCCTCTGACCGGTCCGCCTTTTATTTGGAAGCTTTGTGTCAAGTTGTAGACAGTGCGAGGAGAAACACAGTGACTCTTCTCTCTTCAATACATATTTTAAAGGTCCCATGTCATGCTTTTCTGGTTATTACCCGTCCCCTTGTGTGTTATGAAGGTTTTTATGCATGTAAACGGTCTGCAAAGTCACAAACCCTCAAAGTACACCCTGTAGGGAGTAAAACTCTAACACAGAAAATACCTGTCTATGCTGCCCCAGAACGCCTCGTTGGAGATTTCTCTTTTTCTTCCTGGGTACAGTGACGTGCCCATACCCAAATGGACCCATTCGTCCAAATTGACCAATCCGCGGACTTCCTCACACACACACACACACAATCTTTTCTCAGCTGCAGCTCCGCCGATTTCTCCTCCCTGAGACGACAGGACGCGTGTGAGCACACACACAAACTCCCAGCCAGGCTGCGGGTGTGTGTGTGTGTTCGGGCTGGGTTTCGCTGTGTCTGCTGTCTCGCAGACGGCCACTGGGCTCATAGCGAGGGGGGGGCAGGAGCTCCAACAAGC